TTCCCCGTATATCAATCGATACCAATTTTCGGGAACGTAGCCTTTGCCGGCTGCAATATCCCATACTAGGGAAACTGTGAGCCCACATGCAGTCCAGAATATCCAGGCCAAATAGTACCAAGCGGAGGCCTTGTCTTTGTAGCCGTTGATGTATACTAAGCTCACTAGTGGAACACCCAGAATCAATGAAACGGGGTAATCCACTTCCCAGTGGTGTGAACCCGTCTGCTTCGTGAGAGCCGCTTTCTTGAACACCACGTAAAACACCATAGCGGCTGTATATACCAGGGGCATATCCAACTGCTTTGTCATAGATAGCCCCCATGTGACTATTATCCCATAGACAATATCAACATATAGGTCTGTGGGGAAGAGTAGTTTGAAAGCACTACTCAGCAATGTGTGTACTTGACGCACACGATACTTATCGGGTGCTACCAAATCGACACGCAAACACAGCGCATCATTGTTTGCAACACGCTTCCATGAGGCTGATGCGCATAACGTTTCTGACTCTGAGATGCGTAAGGAAACGATTTTCAAGCACGAGTTGGACCACATCTCATGCGAAGGTGTGTTAGGTAGAACATTCAAATCCGACGAGTTCCCATCTCTGGCGACATGGAAAAGCTGAATGCCTGCTTCCACGCTGTAGGAAGTAACTTCCAGCCGAATCAGAACCTTCGAACATTGTGTGCTCCCATAATCACCGCTCATGATGTCTGAGTATATAGATGAGGGATGGAAAATAACCCCAATGGTGGCGCGCTCTCGTTGACCAGGCACTCTGATAAGGGAAGTTTCTGATTGTCCAGGCTTGCCCAGGTATGTCCAAGTCGACGTTGAAGTGTCGAGATAGGAGATCCTTGGTTCCCACGAGGCCAACGGCACAGGCAAGTCATGGAGCGATAGCATCAGGAGAGTCGAGGGCTTGGGGGTCCTGAGTATCCAGCAGTCTGTCATCAGCGCAGCGCCAAATCTGTGATTCGAGACGGGAACGAGCTTGTGACCTGGCGAGAAACTAAAGGTTCTCACGGTCTTATCTAGAGAACGCAGTGGTATGCAAATACGGTGATCGGGTTGGCCGTCCGGCTGGCAAGCAAGGATGGCGAGGTACTTTGAGCTTCGCCGGGCATTCACACCTCGATTCTCGAGTAATGGTAGAGAAATTTGTAGGCCTTTGTTGTTGAGGGAGAAGGGAGCAACATCGTCACTGGCCAGTGATATCTTAGTGCACTCTCGGAAGTCGTTGGGCTCAGCGGCGAGAAGGTTACCATCTGAGGTATTTGGCCTTCCGTTCTCTGGAGGAAGAAGCCACGCGAGAAATGATTGATCGGCGTTGACTTTGAGAAACTCTTCTTGTAATCTTCTGAACGCTTTGATACCTCCTTCCCCGTAAAGCAATGGCATATTCACATCGAGCAGACCCAGGAGGCAGTATGCGATATCTTCATGTCTTGTCGTAGTTCGATTCGCTGCCCAAGCAACTCTTTTGGCAAAGCTCGCTCCATGAACACGGCTCGTAGAATCGACACCATGTAGAAAATACTCGTCGATCCCAGTTATACCTGAGATTCTCCCTGCTAACTTCTCTCGGGTATTGATCTTTTGCCATGCGCTGTTGTAGAACACTAGGCTTTTGGGCGCAATGAGTTCTTGAAGAGTCCAGCCGCGCGTGAACCACTTGGCGCTTGCAAGGTATTCGACGTTTTGAACATCCTCGAGGAAAGCGTAGCATACTTCGGCTTCTTGGTACCAGCGAAACATAGAGTTGATAGACTCTGACAATTCAGCGCTGCTGCTTTTGTCGATGCAGCAAGTATCACACCAGATGTAGTCATGTCTGTCGATCTGAGCTTGTTTGCACGAGTCGCGAATTTTCCTCCAGCCAGCCTTCTTGGTATCAGGCCCAGACTGCATCTCATTGAAGTCAATCTCCTCGTCACCCCATGTGTGAGACAGGATGGCGTATTTCTTGGGTGGACGACTTATAAAATCTTTGAGCTCCAGGGTTTCAGTATTGATGAGTTTCATGGTCGGAAGAAGTGTGAAGGGTTCGTAGAGAAGGAAGCGAAATGCTGGAGTTGGGGATGAGCTACACCTAGGTAGTGTCAGCCTACGCAGGCTTGGCAGCTGCGCCCCCATAAGCTAAACTGAGCCCCCAAACCATCGGCTGTGATCTAGATGACACAGTCAGAGTATATGCGCATATTAGACCATATGAAGATCTCCAGCAGACTATCTTCGCCTATCGGAGGTTGAAGGCTCCCGCAGGCTCCAGAAAAGGCAGGTGCAAACCTTACTGTAGTTAGCCCCAAGTAAGATATTGACTTGAGCTGAATATGCGATTCGTACGGCGCTTGTGAAAATCTTGTGTCTATTGTCTAGAGTATGATTCGTAACTGCCTTTCCATAAGCCTTCGATGATATTCGTTCCTCAAGTCTTTCTGTGATGCTTCACTATGGGCAATGTGCTTCCATACACGCAAGCGACACTACCACAACATCCCCTCAGTTTACAGTAGATCCATGCATATACGAGCCTCCTGTTTTATTTCGATATCAGTTGGCATAAACACATGCCCACGAGTAGTATTTCCATTTACACAGAACTATACATCAAGCACTGCCGTTGAACAGCTTCGGTTTCACGTCCCCCCTAGCCTTTGCAGGAAGCAGCTTCAACAGCCCAAACAAGCCGAATGACAGAATGAGCTGGCAAAGCCAGAAGAGCTGACCACCCAGGATATGGTACTTGACGCCAATAGCATATATACTAGTCGCAAGAGCCGGTGCTACGGATCGAATGCCACTCTGCGCCGCAAGTGCGACGGCGTTGAGTGTACCGAGTGTTTCGTGTGAGGGCGATATATCGTTGAGCGCGAGCTGGACGCTGGCTGTCGTATACGTTAGCGAAGCAAGATACAGGTGTCTCTGGAGGCTTACTAAAGGCCATCGACACTCCGCTTGCAAGGACTAAAAGAGGTGGCCCAGTAGCCCAGAAGATGGTAGTATGCCCATGCCGGAGTAGGAAATTGTATACCGGACCGACGATGAACAGAAGTGGCCAGACTGATGCACATAGATAGAGCACATAGCCAGTACCCACGCGCTTGTGTAGCGCAGGGAATACAATGAGTAGCCAGGCTGCCTGAGATACTCCGTTCAACGCTGTGCATGCAGCGATGAGCTCTGCGGTGAAGCCGAGGCCACCCAATTTGACGGGTGTATACTGGGCGACTGGAAAGACGGCAGTGAATGTGAATGCCATCAGCATCACGTAGTTGTATACGACGAGTACTCGCATGACGCCGGGACGATTAATGAGCTCCCAGGTAGACATGGTGGATTTTGCGGCCTTCTTCTTGTCGCCATGGATGTGCAGTGTTTCTTTAACGAAAAGCATCGTTGTGATCGCTGCAGAGATAGCAAGAGCCGATACGACAAAATTAGGAAGCGCGTAGGGATAGTCATGCCAGAACTGCAGTTTGCCAAAGGTTGATGCGAACTTATCCGCAGGGCGTTCGAGTGCACCACCTATAGATTTATACTTAGCTCATTGTTGGCTCATGTCATTGCAGAACACATACCTATCAGCGGACCGATGAAGATGCCCATATTGCTTGCGAAAGCAAAGAAACTGAATGCTCGTGCTTGAGTATGCTTGGTGCTATTCTCAGATATCATAGCTCGGACAGTGAGGACCGTTCCAGCAAAGGCACCACCCAGGCATCTGAACAACGCCATTTGCCAGAGGGTCTGGCTCATTCCAAAGAGAGTCGTGGCGACAGTCAAGCCCAACAAAGATATGACGAGAGTAGGCTTCCTCCCATATCGATCAGAAGCCTAGATGCTATGTCAGCAAGCGTCTTTCCCCGTTTACAGCAAAACCAGTGGTACTTACCCTCCCCCAAAAGATCATCACACACATCTGCGTCGCACTAAACAAGCTCTCAATCAAGCCCGAGTAAAACCCAACATCCTCCTTATCCACATTCCCCACCCTCTCAATCATAAAATTGATATAAGGGAAGATGGAGAAGAAGGAAATCGGCGCCACGCATACCGTAAAGCACAGGAGAAAGATCTGAGCTTTGGGCAGTGGCTTATTCTGATCTTCTTCTTCGATGTCATCTTGCTGAGATGAAGGGTCGATTGATTGATCCTCTGTTATCGGTGTTGGATCTACTTGAGTTAGGAGAGGTGTGTTCTCATCAGCGGGTTTGCTAGATGATGTAGACATCCCGACTGGATAGAGGCCGCTCGGGCGACTTTAGATGCGGAAGTCGCGTGAACGGTTTGAGTTCTGAGGCAATCGCCCCAGTGCGACCAGCGTTGCGATAACAACGATAAATAGTAAAATGAACAACGCAACAGCTGCATAAGATGGTGAGGGCCTATATGAGGATTTGAGTCATATCATGCTGATTCATGCGTGAGATGGAAGGGTGCAAGTAAGCATTTTGCAGAGGAACGCGTCGCTTCGTGCCTTCCCGCGGAGGACACACTTCCGCGCTAGCAGGGATGTCCAACCACTCGTCCCAGTTCTACACGTCGTTACTTTGATCAAAAGGCAGGCACGTTTGTGACGCGTCGCGCGTGTTTGACTGTCGTACGTTCACGTGGATACGTGCCAGGTCGAGGTTTTGAGATACACATGAGCTTGCAGCCGCAGATTTCGTTGTCACATCATCACTCATCACGCAGAGTCAACCAAAGATCGTAAGGGATATGAAAGTGTCCATAGGCTCTAAGCTACAACCTTAAGATCCTACACCCCCATGTGAGCTCAAGCTCCTCCATAACTCAAACACCCAACCATTGGCCCGCTGTGCTATTTTGTGGACAATCGACATGTGTAAAACCCCGGGATAACAAGGCACCAATACAAGGATGCCCCCGCTACTAGGCTTGTCATGATCTCGAGAACCGTACGCAAGAACACGCTTGGAAGAAAACCGTCAGTCGATGAATCGCGTAGACGCATGACCTCCAGTACCTTAGAAGCACTTGCGGTGGACGATGGAGGGACCGCTCTCGTCGTACTCCTGCTTTGAGATCCACATCTGCTGGAAGGTGGAGAGCGAGGCGAGAATAGAACCACCGATCCAGACGGAGTACTTGCGCTCCGGGGGAGCGATGATCTTGACCTTCATCGAGGATGGGGCGAGGGCGGTGATTTCCTTCTGCATACGGTCGGAGATACCGGGGTACATGGTGGTTCCACCAGACTGGCTGCTGTTAGCTGTGTTTTGCGAGATTGTAGCGTTCAACTTACCATGACGATGTTGCCGTACAGGTCTTTCCTGACGTCGACATCGCACTTCATGATGGAGTTGAAAGTGGTGACGTGGATACCACCGCTCTCAAGACCCAAGACGGAAGGCTGGAAGAGAGCCTCAGGAGCACGGAAACGCTCGTTGCCAATGGTGATGACTTGACCGTCGGGAAGCTCGTAGGACTTCTCCAAGCTGGAGGACTGGCTGGCAGTCTGGATCTCCTGCTCGAAGTCAAGAGCGACGTAGCAGAGCTTCTCCTTGATGTCACGGACGATTTCTCGCTCGGCGGTGGTGGAGAAAGTGTAACCGCGCTCAGCCAAGATCTTCATGAGGTAGTCAGTCAGATCACGACCAGCCATGTCGACACGGGAGATGGCGTGGGGAAGAGCGAAACCCTCGTAGATGGGGACAACGTGAGTGACACCGTCACCGGAGTCGAGCACGATACCGGTAGTACGTCCGGAGGCGTACAGGGACAGGACAGCCTGGATGGAGACGTAGAAAGCGGGAGCGTTGAAGGTCTCGAAGACAATCTGTGTCATCTTCTCACGGTTGGACTTGGGGTTGATGGGAGCCTCGGTGAGCAGGACGGGGTGCTCCTCGGGGGCAACACGCAGCTCGTTGTAGAAAGTGTGATGCCAGATCTTCTCCATGTCGTCCCAGTTGGTAACGACACCGTGCTCAATGGGGTATCGCAGGGTCAGGATACCACGCTTCGACTGTGCCTCATCACCGACGTAGGAGTCCTTCTGGCCCATACCAATCATGATACTGTTTGTTGTTAGACGGCGGAGTGCGTAGGGGCTACGGGGGGTTCATCGTACCCATGGTGACGCGGTCGGCCAACGATGGAAGCTGCGAAGCTGTCAGAAGTGCTCTCGAGATGGTGATTGATCCCGCCTCAGCTGGGAGGCGGAAATGGAGGTACTTACGGAAGACTGCTCGGGGCGCATCGTCACCGGCGAAACCGGCCTTGCACATACCCGAACTGGTGATTGTCAGCTCAAGCTCATTTCATCTCCGAACATAGCGCGCTGTCGTGGAGGACGTCGTCGCGGCTCAGATAAGGCTCAGGCGCGGACAGCCCCTCCACGGCAGGGATGGCGGTGTTGGGCTTCGGGTGGTGCCAACTCACCCATTGTCGATGACGAGGGCTGCGACTTCCTCTGTAGTAGGCAATCGAGGTTAGTAGAGCTCATTGAGATAGAGGGCATGGTGGACGGCGATGGTCAGGACACGGGGCGGTCGGGGTGGAGCTGCTTACCCTCCATGTTGATTGATTAGGGTGAGATTAGAGTAGACGTGGAGTTGTAGATGGGTGTCGATGTAAGAGCGCTGGAGCAATTGAGCGTCAGTGGGAAGGCTCAAAGATGCAGCTAGCGGTGAAAAAGTAAAAAGGGTACGGAGGTGTTCGGGGAGCTTACAAGTTCGGCGGCGGTGTTGAGGTTGAGGTTCTTGTGCGCAGAGGCAAGAACTGGGTGTGCTAAATAAGCGGGTCGGCCTTGCCCAGATTTAGCGGGGTGGCAGGAGCGCAGGCGCGAAGGAGGCTTTGCACGAACGGGCGGCTCCTAAAGGGGATTGTGTATAATTTCAGCGTTGGCGATCTGGCTTCACGACGATAACAGCATTGGGCATCTTATACGTGCTGCCCAAAGGGTGCAGCCTAGAATGGACTCTATCTATCCCGGTGGTACGTACTGGGAGAGTACGCAAGCTCCCCGCCACAGCATCGAGGAAGCTGCTGTCGGCGCACGTCAACTCTACCAGACCGCCAGGCAGCGGTGTTTGATCCTTGGCGTATAGCAATCATCGACACTCCACTAGCACCTACGTGTTCTCGCCGGTGCGCTGTGAATGCACAAGTCAGCGTCGAGCACAAGTCAGTCCCCCAGCCATCCGCGGCTTCGCTCACCGCCAACTCGCCATCCCCGCCCATTCCGAATACGATGGTCACGTGTGCGGAGGGGCAGCAGCAGTGCACCTAGCCAGACGAGCATTCGCAGCAACAATGCCATGCTCGATGCCAACATGTCGTGATTATGTCATTGAGAGCCGACATCGACCAGCTTTTGCACCGCGCCATGTTTGTCGTGTTTGTTCGTTTCCCGCCATGTGGTTGATGGTGTTGACAGCTGTGTTGGGCACGATCTCCCATGGAAGGCCCGCGAAGCTGCTGGTCCCCTCGCGAGCGTCGGCGTCATAAGGCCCGCCAAAATTATTCAATGGCTACGCACCCCGCGATTGCACACACCCTCCACACAACACACCAAACATCACACATCTATCCAACACCATGAACGACCCAGGACTAAACAACCTCCTCAAATGGGGTATCCAGAACTCCGAGGCTTCGCGCAATGATGCCGCTGCCGCCAACCAACCGCCGCCTCAAATCGACGCCACGGCGCTGCAACAACTCATGACGGGAATGTCAGGACCTTCGGATGCGCAATTGATGCAGGAGAGCATGCAGGTCATTCAGAACGAAGAGGCCGAATTGGAGCATCGAACGACCGCCTTCGACAACTTTGAGCAGCTCATCGAGAACCTCGACAATGCAAACAACATCGAGAGTCTGGGACTATGGGTGCCCCTTGTCGAACAGTTGGAGAACAAGGAGTCTGAACTCCGGTATTACGCTGCATGGTGTTGCGGCACTGCCGTCCAGAACAACATCCGGACACAGGAACGGGTAAGCATTCCCAGATCTCGCGCACACTCACGAAACATACTAACGATCCCCAGCTCCTCGTAGTCGGCGCCATCCCCACCCTCGTCCGCATGGCCACCTCAGACACCGAGAAGAAGGTCCGCAAGAAGGCAGTCTTCGCCCTGTCGTCCTCCGTCCGCAATTTCCAGGCTGCGCTCGATGCCGCCGTAGAGCATGTGCCCGCCGAGTTCAAGCCGCAACAAAAGCTGGATGCCAACGACATGGAGTCGGTCGATGTTTTGATCAACAAGCTCCGTGAGAGCGTATAAAGGAATCGGTTCTGGATTGCATTGGGTCGGCGTTACGGTACTTGACTGGTCAGCATGGGACGGCGCATAGAGGGACAAAAGTTGACCTTGGAGGACGGATGGATAACATACCCAAGATTCGATGGAGTAACGTTCGGGCACAGACTCCCACGGTTATCACGTCGAGCATTGCATAGATTAAAGCAATACGAATTCGATCTCATATGACTCCCAGCACAAGTCCAACCAGCTCGCTGAATGCTTCTCTTCCAATCATGCTTTTGTCCAGACCCATACCCAGTACGACCATCCTGGTTTCCCTGTCATCGCGCTGCTTAATGGCACTGGCAACCTGTGTCGCGAGTGTTGAGCCCAGAGTGTCGAGCTCTGCCATGGTACCGCCAAGTATAGTTGTAGCCGTGAGATGGTGCATAGGAAGGAGGTCTGAGTTGGGGTCTTCTTCGTCGCGTTCGAGGTAGGCATTCGAGGTCATGGAGGCATCGGTCGCGGAGATGTCAAGGGGTACATGTACCTAGCAGGTGTTAGCAAAACATACTACAGACAAACAGATATATTTACACACCCAGTGCGCTAGCCGTCCATTCTGTGTCACGGTGATGAGGATCTTGTCCGCAAAGTTGACCGCCGTTGCTGTAGTTTCTATACTCTTGATCGCTGAAGTAGCCGTACTGGTACGCGCTGGGTATGGGGCGGGCGTCACGACGTAGTCGTCTGAAGTTGTGGGTGCTGCCATGGTGTTGTCCGTGCGATGCGACCGTTGTTGCTGAGGGGTAGCTGATATGCGGCGAGCAATGCGACGAAAGGCGAGCGAGTTGGCTAGAGCTCTTGGTATAGTGAAAGTAGTTAGGCGCGCAGTAGAGTGCTGATGCGACTTTCGCGTTCGTGTCTGGCGGTGCGTGGTGTTGAATCCAGATCAACAGCCCACTCGACTCGCACCCGGCGGAAGTGCTGCGGAGTTCCCACTAGCGTCAGATCCCCACCAAAAACTTTCGGGCGCTGCGAGCAGTCCTCGACGCCGCAACCACCAAAATGCCCAAGTTCGTGCCGCGACAGCGAAAACACAAGGTTCTGGCCCGCCAGAAGACGCCGGCGCATGAGGCCACCGTCGACACCAATGCGACCGAGATCTTGCCCCAGGATGAGCAGGAGCGCGCCCAGAAGAAGGCTGCGCTCAAGAATGAGCTCACCCGAGAGTCGCAGGGCAAGATGAGCGGCAAGAAGAAGAAGCGCCTCGACAAATACATTGTACGTGGAGATACAGCATACAAGACTCGCAGCACTTTTCGTTGTCAATTTGCGCTACGACTGTACCACGAAGAACTTCAAGTCTAACTTTTGCAGGATACGAAACTCAAGAAAGAAGAGAATCTCGAACTGCTCAAGAAGCTCGCGACCCAGAAAGTCGACACCAGTTTGTTCCAAAGCTCGAAGAAGCTCGGTCGAGGAGCGGACACCAAGAGGGAGGCAATGAGGCGCGCACTGGCTGAGAGCAGAGCCGGCATAGATGTGGAAAAGAACGAAGGCCTGATACTGGAGAAGCGCGAGGTCAGGGAGGTTGGAGACGAAAGTTCAGACGAAGAAGAAGCGCCGATACCCACTTCGAAACCAAACGCACGACAGATCCCCTCGCAAGCAGCGCAAACCAACGGCTCTTCACGAGAACGAGCGCCATCCCCATCACCCTCCGAGCCCGAAATCGAAGCCTCGCAGCCAACCTCACAGCCACTCGCAGCGCCACGGCAGACTGGTGGACTCTTTGGAAGCGGGCTGAAGAGGCCTCTAGAGGTTGACGAGTCGGGCAAACCCGTTATACAAGTGCGAAAGCGCCGGAAAGGCCAGACCAACAAGCCCGTCGTGGTCGAAGAAGAGGTCGCATGGGAGGGCTTCAGCTCGGGCAGCGAGAACAACGATGAGGACAGTGGGGATGAATCTGAAGCATCTGTTGCTGAGTCCGACGACGCTGGTTTGAATTCGGAAGAGGAGGCATCAACTTCCGGATCCGAAGCTTCTGACGAATCTGGAGAGTCCGGAGACTCTGAGGACGACAGCGACGAGGATAGCGATACCAGTCCCGACGAAGAGAACAAGATCGCGAAGAAGGAAAGAACGTCGGCTTTCAAGGCTTGGGCAACGCAGCAGAGAAACGAGCAAGTGGGTTTCACTCCGACAAACCAACTATCCTACGCTCCGATTCCGGCGAACTTCAAACCTCGAGCTCCCGAACAAGATCCTCTGCCCCCAGAACTTGAGACGAAAACGGCGACGGATGCGACACGGAAAGCCTTCAGCGTGAACGTCGAACGGTCACCAGAGATACAAGAGTCAAGACTGCAGCTTCCTATCGTAGCGGAAGAGCAAAAGATTATGGAGGCCATACACAACAACGACGTGGTAGTAGTTTGGGGTGCCACGGGTAGTGGTAAGACCACGCAGGTGCCTCAGTTTCTCCTAGAATCTGGATACGGAGCGCCAGACGGGCCTACGCCAGGCATGATTGGTGTCACGCAACCGCGTCGTGTAGCCGCTGTCAGTATGGCGAAACGTGTCGGCGATGAACTCGGCGACCAAAGTACGAAAGTGGCATACCAGATCCGATTCGACACGACGACGAGTCCTAAAACCGCCATCAAATTCATGACCGACGGTGTGTTGCTACGGGAGATTACCCAAGACTTCGTATTGACAAAGTACTCGGCGATTGTCATCGATGAGGCTCACGAACGTAGTGTGAACACCGACATTCTTATTGGCATGCTTAGCAGGATAGTGGATCTTCGCGCTCAGATGGTCAAAGAAGACCCAAAGAACAAGCCTCTCAAACTGATCATCATGTCCGCTACTTTGCGGATATCAGACTTCACCGAGAACAAACGCCTGTTCAGGAGTGAGCCTCCGCCACTGATCAAGGCAGAGGGTCGACAATACACCGTTGTAAACCACTTCGCACGTCGCACCCAGCGAGACTACGTTGAGGAGATGTATCGTAAGGTCTGCAGAGGACATCGAAAGCTTCCCAAGGGTGGTATGCTTGTCTTCCTTACTGGACAAAGCGAGATCTCGCAGCTTGCAAAACGCCTAAAGGAAGCTTTTCCCTCTACGCAAGGGCGGGAAGTGAAGCATGGCAAAGTTGTGGTTTCTCCAGCGGAGACGCCACTAGAGGCCGAGGACATTGAGTTGGGCGGAGAGGCTGAAGATCAGAACTACCTAGACGACGATGGTTCGGATTCGGAAGGCTCCGTGATAATGGGACTAGATGATGAAGACGACAAAGAGTTCGAGATCGAAGACGAAAAGGCAGAGGACACTGTTATGAACGTACATGTTCTGCCTCTCTACTCACAACTGCCCACAAATCAGCAGCTGCGGGTGTTTGACCCACCTCCTGATGGCTCTCGTCTTATTGTCCTTGCGACGAACGTCGCAGAAACCAGTTTGACAATACCCGGTATCCGCTACGTGTTTGACTGCGGAAGAGCCAAGGAGAAGAAATATGATCTCATCACTGGCGTCCAGAGTTTCGAAGTCAGCTGGATCAGCAAGGCTAGTGCCAACCAGCGATCCGGTCGTGCGGGTCGTACTGGACCTGGTCACTGTTATCGCCTGTACTCATCGGCCGTTTTCGAGCGAGATTTTGAAGAGTATGCAGCTCCAGAGATTTCACGAACACCGTTGGAGGGCGTGGTGCTGCAGTTGAAGAGTATGGGCGCTCCAGTCGTCAACTTCCCCTTTCCCACCTCGCCGGATAGGGAAAGTCTGCAGAAGGCCGAGAATCTGCTTTCATACCTTGGGGCACTGTCTCTGGATGGCAAGGTCACAAAGCTCGGTCACGAACTTTCGTTATATCCTCTGAATCCACGATTCGCCCGCATGGTTGCGATGGGTGTCGCACAGAATCTCGCAGCTGAAACCATCGCATTGGTGGCTGCCCTTTCTGTACCGGAACTCATCGTTCCAGAGAACAACCTCGGACTACGTGAGCCCGTCAAAGACCCGGATGCCATCCGCACCGAGCAGGACAACATCGAAGCTGAGGAGCGCTCCCGGCTGCGCAAAGCCTACAATGCCGCACAGGCAAAGATGAGCATCAACGCGAAGCAGAGCGATTGCATCAAGCTCAGCAACGCCATCTGTGCCTACGCGTACGAGCCTGACTCGCACCGGTTTTGCGAAGACATGTTCCTCAATCCAAAATCCATGAACGAGGCCAGTCAGCTCCGCCACCAGCTCACCAACATTGTCCGGGCACATCGACCCACCGCTATTGGAGCATACAATGCAAAGCTTCCAGCGCCTTCGGAGCGAAACATTAATCTGCTTACCCAGATCTGTGCCGCAGGCTTCATCGATCAGATTGCTATGCGCGCCGATCTTGCACCTGTGCCTCCTGAGCTCCCAAGGAAGCCCAAGACCGCGATCGATGTGCCATACGTTACTCTGTTCTCGTCACAATCAGAGCGTTCGGACGACCCACACTCGAAATACGTCTTTCTACACCCTTCTTCCATACTCGCACGCACACCGCCAGCAAAGATGCCGGGATACATTATCTACTCGCATCTTCAGCGGGCTGCATCATCAACTATTACTGGAAGCCGGACGCCGAAGACGCGCATGCATCCTCTCACTCCCGTTACGAGGCCGCAGATCATCAACATTGCGCTCAACACCCCTTTACTACAAGCGAGTAAGCCAAAGGGCAAGATCGTAGATCTCAGCAAGGATAAACGAGAGTGTGAAGTCGAGATGAGTCTCATGGGTGAGAAGGGTAGTCAAGGATGGGGCCTGGGTGTTAGAAAGGTGGTACAGAGGAAAGAGCCTGGCGGAAGATATGTTATCGAGCGAATACTTGGTTGAGAACCGCTTGAGGCGTTGCATACATGTTGAGTAGCCAAGATGTTTATGATCGTAGAGCGAATCGCGAGGGAACATAGCAATATATTATGAGATAGCCCACGACCCACTTCCCAGCTACGTTTCCAGTATACTTCCGGTTGCAGTGACCCCGCAACCCCCCAAACCCCTAATCCCTCGACACACTCGTCTCAGCCGCCACCTTCTCACTCGCCAGCACCGTAACCTCCTTCTCCTTCTCGACACTAGTCCTCCCCACCTTCCCCTCATCATCCCCCCTCGCCGCCCCAACACACTTATAACTCCCAAACTGCCTCGCCGACAACCCCGCCTCGAACATCTCATCAATCTCCTCCAAGGTCCTATTCTTAACCTCCGGCAAAAAGAAGAACACCCACGTCGCCGCCACCGCACAACTCGGCGCCCAGATAAACCCATACCTCGGTCCCCAATTCATACTCTGCGGATTAATAAAGTACGGCGCCGTAAACGTCGTCAGCCACGCGCCTACAAACCCCGCACTGGCCGCCAGCCCGAACGTATGGGAACGCAGTCTCTGCGTCGGGAGTTCGCCGCCGGAGAGCCAGGCGTAGGTGGATATCATGCCGTTGTAGCTGAACATGTAGATGGCGGTTAGGCCAACGGTGACTTTGCCTGTGGACTTTGCGTTGGGGGCTTGGTGGTATACGGTTGCGATAATGAGTTGGAGGATGCCGCAGACGAGGAGGCCGGTCATGAGGAGGACGCGGCGGTTGCCGTAGCGCACGACTATGAAGGAGTTTGCGATGAAGGCGATTATGCTGATGGAGGAGAGGACGTTGGACATGGCGAAGGGGTCGGTTACTTTGGCCATGGAGAGGAAGTAGGCTTTGTATGCTTGGG